AAGGTAAGATATAAACTACTTTATTATAGTAATTAATAGTAATATAAAGTTCTAATAATAAGTAAAAGAAAAAAGGATTAAGGTTAAGACTACTTCTTTATATATAAAGGAGCTAAATAGTAAAGCTAAGAGGGTTAGCTAGGAAATAATAACTAGAGGTATTAAACTACTTTCTAAAATAAACCTTTTATATAAACTATAAGTTAAAGTAATAATAGCTAATATATACTTTTATAATATTAGCCTTTTTTAGTATAACGCTTAGCTTTATTTAATTAAAAAAGAAGAGAAATAGTTTAAATAATATTTTTATTAATAATAACTTTAATATTAAGTAACTTTTAGCTAAGACTTATATTTATAATAAGAATAGCTTTATATATATAGCTATTAAGTATATTTTGTTTAAAAAGACTAAAAGAGAGATATAAAAAGATAATGTTTTAAGGTAAAACTAAGAGGTTATATTAAATACTTAATAGGCTATATTTAAAATATTTATAACTTATATTAAATATAAATTTTTTTATTTTAGTAAATTATAATTATATAAAATATAATGTTTTATAAAAGCTAATTTTATAAAAAAAATAATATAAAAGTAGTAATCTTAGTTAAAGAAATATAAGTAATTATAAATAATATATAATACTTAAATATAACTTATAACTCTAAATTTTATGTTTTAGGTATTATAAAAGAGGTTAATATTACTTTAATCTTATAAAAAAAATACTCTTTATAATAGCCTTTATTATTTACTTTTATATTAAGAATAGTGTTTTTAGATAAAAGAAAATAAAGTAACTATAAAATAAACTATATTTAATAAAGAGAGTAGCTGTTAACCTTTGATCCCTTACCTGAACCAGGAGATATCCTAGATTAAGAGATTAGAACAATAATAACTATTAAGAACTAAGCTATAGTAAATAAAGATGTATTAAAATCTAAGGAAGTTAATTATTTAACTAAAGTAATTAAAAATAAGATTATTATTTATACTAATTTACTTTTAAATAAAAAAAATAAAGTAAAAAAAGAACTAATAATATGTTTAGGATTAGTATTTATAAGCTATATTAACTAAAAGCAAAAATTAAGTAATAGTAATTAGAATAGCCTAAACTATAATACCTTAACCTAGTAAAGCTAACGCTAATAAGGCTTATTACTAAAACTAGTACTAATAGGCCTATTTAATAAAACAAAGAACACTAGCTACCTTTCTATATTCTTATATTTAGAATAAAACTAGAATATATTCTTTAATACCTTTATACTAGATAAGTAGAAAGTACTAGATAAAGAGGCTACTAGATACTAAATAATCTATAGTTATATCTATATATTAATTATCTAAGTAAAGTATACCTAAAAAATACTAATATTATATAATAAGAAATAAATAAAAGAATTATTATTTTTACTAAAGAACTAAAAAGAGCTTCTAAACCTTTTTTAGCTATATTAAGACCTTTTTTTATAAGTAGTAATAACTAAGATTTAGAAGCTTAAGTAGATAAGTACTTGGAAAATAGTAAACTAGAGTAAAGTTACTTAGAAACTAATTCTTTTAAAATAGGTCTTTTTATATAAGATAAACTAGGATAGTTTCCTTAACTATTATAAAACGTAAATCTATATAAAAAGTAATATATAAGAAAAGTATTTTCTTAAATAGATATATATAGTAATACTTATAGTATAAACTTTTTATATTATAATAGCTATTATAACTAAATTTAACCTTAAGATATACTAATTTAATATAGTTAATATATTTCTAAATACTAAGAGAAGACTAAATAAACTACTTATTATATACTTCTTTTTAAATAGCTTTAAGATACTAGATAAAATTATTAAATTATAGTATATACTCTATAGTCTTAGAGATATACTTTTTTTTTAGTATAAAGAACTTTTAAGTACTTTATATTATTTTAGAATAAAGGCTATAAGCAAAAACCTATATTTTTTTTAGACTTTAGATAAAAAGATACTTTTTTTTTTTATATTAATAATATTTTTATATTTTATTATAAATCTTATATAAGAAATATAAAAAGGATTATAAAAGGAATCTAAATAATATATAAGGTAAAAGACTAGGGCCTAGCTAAATAGTATCTAGGTATATAAATCTTATATAACTAGCTAAAGCAAAAGATTTATTTAGTTTATAACTAATATATTAAGTAAATTACTAAAAGATTTAACTTTATTAATTTAAGGATACTAATTACCTTATTACTAATAGTTATACTTAAAAAGAATAACCTTTAAGTAACCTTAGCTAATATAAAGCGTTTCTAGAAAAAGGTTAGATTAATCCTCTATACTATAATAATAATTTAACTTAATGTTATATTTATATATGCTTTACTTTTATGTTTTCTAATAAACCTTTTATATATTTACTAATAGGTAATAGATTAAGTTATTAGATACTTATATTATATTTAGTACTTAGTAATATGCTTTAGTACCTTAAGGGGTATATAGGTACTACTAATTATAAGTAATGCTTTATTTATAGATAATGATAAGATATAAAGATTATTTTAAGGATATATTATTTTACTTTTTAGAGAGCTAATTTAATAAAAGGCTATTTAATAAAATACTATTATAATATTAATAACTAAGGCTAAGTTCTTTAGCTTTAAGTATATTACTAAAAAAACTATTACTTTTAAATGTCTTTTTTAAGATATATAACTTAAGCTTAGTAATATATAAAAGATTAATTATAATAATAATTAAACTATTTATCTTATTATAAGTAAAAGTAATTAAATTTTAATTTACTTATAGTATATTAATATTTAAAATATATAATTCTAATAAGAATATAATAAATATTTATTTAATATTATATATATATTAATAAATAATATACTAATAAATAATCTTATTAAGAACTTTATTAAAGTAAAGTTTAAGTACTTTAGAGTACTTTTTAACTTATAAAATATATAAATAAAGATTATATATACTAAAAAAGAGGTATTAGTAAAAAAAGAATACTTATAGGTTATTTAAAATTGCTATTTATAGCCTATAAGCCTTTACTCTTAGTAAAAGCCTAAGAAAGAAGTTTTTTTAGTGCTATTAACCTCTTAGAAGTACTATATATTAGTTTATAAGGAGCTAGTATATAGGTAAAGATGATGTAGGTATTAACTAACTAATAAGGCTATTAATTATAACCTGAATAGTATTTACCTAACCCTTGTTTATAACAGTAATAGCTATACTAGAGGCAAGACTGCTAAACAAGGTTAGACTAACTAGTGTATTTTTACTAAGTAGTATTACTACTATTTTGCTATACTTTTATATATTATACTAAATATCTCTAAGTTAAAGGGTCTACTTAAATATAATATAGCTTTATAATATATTAGTTACTTAGCTAAAGACCTATAAAAATAATTAGTATTAAATAAATAATTATTATATATAGAAATATATACTTAGAGCTATATTATTATATTTTATAGCTAGGAACTCTTAGGCTAAGTAGTGAAGCTTAGAACCCTTAATAATTATGATATAAGGGGTCTTACTAAGTGTATAGCGTTAGCACTTAAGGGTCTAGTTATTGCTTACTGGTATATACTAACCTGAAGAGTTGCTGTATAGTGTGCTTTGAATGCACTATAGGTACTTAAAGTCTCTTTAGAGGGCAGGCTTTAGGGTCCTAGTGCGCTTTGCCTCCTTCTCCTCCTTCTCCTCCTTGTTTAACTTCCTCTCCTTCCCTATGAACCCTATTATATTTATCACTATTCAATTAGGTTAACACAAAGTTCAGGTCAAATATAAGTAAATACAACATATAGTTATTCTAGGTTATAGCCTAGGCCTATAGGTGCGTGTTAGTGTAGGCCAAGGCGTTAAGGGAGGGAAGTGACTTTGAATTATCTTTATCTTTACTTGTGGTACTTGCAGGGAGGTCGTCTAAGAGAGGAGGCTGTAAGCTATCCTCTTTGTTGTTAACCTCCTTGTTACTATAGCCTCTAGCAAGAAGAGTCTGCTTTTATATGTTAATACTACTTAAGATATAAAGGAGCTAGCTAAAGAATAGACGTATAAAAAGAGGAGGGACTATAGGCTAGTTACTAGGGGATTAAGGGAACTACTACTCTTTTTATTACTTTTATATACTTTATTATACTTTTTAAGTTAAGTTATATATATTATAATAGTATAAGTATATATAATAACCTTTTTATTAAATTTTAGAAGTATTTATTTTTAAATATTAATATTATATAAAGAGTTTATAATATAAATAAATATATATATATATAATAAAAATAATAATATTTTAAATATATAGTTATTATTATTATAAATAAATAAATAAAAAAAGGCTTTTTTATTAAGTTAAAAGAAAATAATATTATTAAAAAAAAATTTAATTTAATAATTAATTAGTTAATTAAAGGCTATTAATTTAATTTAATTATTTAAAAATAATAAAAAAAAAATAGTTTTTTTATTATTAATAACTAAATATAGTATTATATAATTATTTTTTTATATTTATTACTTTAAAAATAAGTATTTATATTTTTATTTATTTTTTTAAAGTAATTTTTTTATATATAGCTATTATTAAATATATAATAGTTAAAATCTATTAATCTATTTAAGGGGGTATATTATAATGCCTTTATGCGTATTACACAGCCTTATGAGATTTGCGCTGGGCCTAGATTAACTATTAGTCTGGTCCCTTTGTGCAGATCTACTATGTAGGATATATATTTATTTGTTTTGGACAAGGTAATCCTGCACGTAGAAATCTAAGCCGTTTTCCTTATGTCTTTTCCACCCTAAGTGGTAACTCTATGACAACTAACATTTATTAACCTAGATAGAAAAATTATGATCTAGCTAGACTCTAATTGACCTGACGTAGTTGAGAAACGATGCAAAACCCAGATAGTCCACCCAATGTATGTGCCTCTTCACTCTACCACACGAGTCTAAGAGCTTCGTCTTCCGTATGGCTCAAAAGGGAACAGTGCCGAAACGCCAGCCATCAGGCCAAAGAGTGCTGCGCATACGTAAAGAGGCACCGCCGTCGACGTGTTGCCAGACGTAGCAACGAATGCAGAAACAATGCCCATTAGGCGGTTGCAAGCCACTGCAATACCGTTGCCCGTGGCGCGATGTGCTGAAGGGAAAACCTCAACTGTGTACGCATACAGCGTACCATAGTAGATGTTGATGCTGCATGCTGATTTTATGGGCTGTTAGTTTCTGGCATTTGCCGATACTCCAGGTTTGGGTAAAGTTACTCACCAATTGCGCAACTCAGGCCTACGTTTTGATCGGCAGTTTTAACCGCAGTGTAGGCGAAAAAGAGCGCCATGGACAGGACCGCGCCGATGACCATCGTGTACTTCCGGCCGACGTGAGGAAGGTTAGCAAGGTAACCAGCGATGATCGGCCCCGGGATTCCAGAGATGTTAGTCAGTGTAAAGTTTCGCCACGTCTCGTAAGGCGTCTCGACGTTGTCCGGAACTCTCGACGCAAGGTAAGAGCTGATTTCTATCAGTTGCCATTGCCCCGTTCATGATTCTGGTTGTGTACTTACGGTAAGAACACGTAGAAAAGGGGATACGCCAGACCGATCAGTGTCCATGACATCCAAACCATTGCGGTACTAAGAGCCATCTTCCTGGTCACGAAAAGACCCTTGACATGGTCGACCAGCTCGTTCAGCACGAACTTGACTGTGTGTCTGTCTTGCCCTGCGTTCTTCATCTCACCGCATGCCGCGAGCTTTTCTTCCGTAAGCGAGCACTCTCTTCCATACTTTTGCGCTATCTGCTGATAGTTCCGCACGAGATCAGCATCTCGGCCGACACTGAGGAGGTATTTCGGCGTCTCCTTCAACCGCATGATCGTCACTCGCGCGACGGAGGTGACAAAGACTAAAGCGCCGGCCGTGAACGAGACGTATCTCCAACCGGCGTTGTTCGACCAGTTGCAATTTTGTCCTTCGGTGCAGTTCCATCGGGTTTGGGCTATGTCATTATTAGTATCTCACCGGCAAGCGATTGTTGAAAGATGTGTTCTACTCAAGAATCCCCAGGCAATGAATCCTGTCAATGCTTGTCCGAAGCCCCACCAAAGCGCGAGAGCTGTTACCGTCCACTGCTTGCTGCTGGGCAGAAATTCAAGAAAGACCGTCGGGTCGAGCACCAAGTTGCCACCGGCGCCGAATCCTGAGAGCGCGATGAAGAAACTCCACGATACGATATTGGGGCTTGCACCCGACACGATTGTCGCGAGGGAGGTGATCAATAGCGTTACATTGAACGCGATCCTCCTCCCAATGATATCGGCACCGAACCCCCAAAAGATTGCACCGACCAGTAGTCCGACGTACAGCGAGACAGTACCCGCATTGCGATATGTCGAGGACGTCGCTAGCTCCAGGAAAGCTCCTGTATTGGTGACGGACTGGACGAGCGCAATGAGGGAATCGACGGCGTAGCCGAAGCCGTTCAAGACGAAGAGCTTCCAGTGAAATGGCGTCCAGCCGATTTGGTCATTGGCCTTCAATATGTTAGCCCCATTTTTCTTCGTGTCAATAGAGCACACATGAGCGGAGAGGCGCCCGCCATTTTGTGTTCGAGCAACGCTCCCAGAGTTTTCTCATACGTCATTGACGAGGTGCATTTTCCTCGCCAGCACGGGGTCCTCGCCCTCATTTTCCAAGATGTCCTTGGCCGAGCTGATGGAGCTGTCTTCGATGTCGGACACCGGCACCAGCCCGTCGATGTCGACCGGTTTCTTCTGCGTCGTCGGGTCCAACATGGTCGGGTCTGGTTTTTGATGCATTGTATGCAAGTTGATGTTTGAGGAAGAGGAGATGAGATTGCAGCTCGTGTGCCGTACTTGTAGGAAGAACAACTCAGATGAAAGGTCCGAGTAATCCCTCTGTGAACTGTGGGGGGCGAAGATAATGTACCTCAATTAATGTCGCATTCGAGCAGGCATTGGCGCACACGTGCCCACTATCGTACATGTTGGTTTTCGTCACTGATGCTATCTCTTTTGTCCTCTGCTGGGCAGTCTGTCTTAGCCGTCCATAGCGCGATGAAGCTGCATACCAACCACATAGGTTGCCTGTGGTTTCTGGTTCCCGTCCGCCACAGGCTTTACAGCGTTTAATCTCTCCAACTATTATGGAACCAGACACCCAAAAGCCCCACACAAGATACAGGGGAAACGTCTAAATTGCCCTGGAAGTAAGCGGTATCGACGTGGTCTCATTGGACGTTAGATGGGCGAGGCACCGCCAACACCACTTCCGATGAAACGTTTCCGTAATCTGCTTGGACCGAGAATGTTTGCTCACCAATGACGTGCACCCAAGAACAGCCCACGTGCAAGGGGCCAATTTGCGTGAATCGGGGTGGGGATCGGCGGGTGAGTTTGTCGACCGCATTAACGCTCTGGGCGCCGCGCCGCTGCTTGCCAGTCAAACGTACACTACTCGGGACAGGAAAATCCACGGGCCGAATAGATAAGGTTTGAAAATGGATTTAGCGGTGGTGAAGAATCATGTGATTTAGAACGGCTTTCCGGTGCTAGTCCGAGCATTTTTTAAATGTTCGGACGGGCCGATGAGGGTAGGGTTTCGAGCCATAATTCCGGCCTCGGGCCTCGGCTTCCTGTCTCCACTTTTGGTACGGCGCTCCGAATGAAGTCCATCCCGTTCCGTCTCAGATCACTCTAAGTACTTCCGGAATTACCGATGAAGCGCCAGCCGCACCACGAGCAGTAGTTAGCAATCTCCCAACCTAAGTTCAGTTGAATTTTGATGAATGAGGGACTTGTTTAAGCTCTAGCACACGCCATCTTCGTCACCTAGCAGCGTCAAAACGTTGTTTAAACGGCCCAAGTTTGGAGGATGACCAGTCTCAGCGACACAGAAATCTTTCGAACAATTTTTCGCATTCGCACATTCCAGCCTTTTTGTCTTTTGAGAATATCGCTTTTCTCACCTCTAGAGTTTGGTACGTGTGGAGAAATTTTCTAGATGATCCATGAGATTGCAATCTTTGGGGGTTTAGATAAGTATTTGTACGTTCATTAATGTCCTATCTAGTTCTCACAAAACTAAAAGAGGTAGTGTACACAACAATTTCAAATCGTCAATGTCTTGGTTCCGCATCCTATGACACGTCGTCTCGTGACTGCGTTTAGCGCGTCGACCTCGGTTTATCCTGACGGGTACGTAACATCTTATGGCAGTTAGTCACTTGAAGGTGCGAAACACCTTTCATTGAATATGATTAAATTTTTTTTATCTATCGTGAGAAGTCACTCACGGTCATTGATGGTCTCAGACTCGGAGATCGAGCACACTACTTCGACACTGCCGTGCCACGATCCAAATAGGCTGACCCAACAATTCCGTGTCGACGTGTGCTACGCTTCTATCTGATGAGTGTTGGACTAATTTGGACTTTGTGCTTTGAAAAAAAATCGCGCATCAAACATGATTTTTTTGCAGCCGCTGGCTAATGTAGTTAACGTGGCTTGCGTGACGGGGCTTCCGTAACGAAGTTGCTGAGATGTCTCCGCATGCGTCACTGTCTTTGTATCAGCGATTAACGTATGGAAATGGCCGTTGCGACCAAGTCCTAGTACGTGATAAGTCCCAATGGCTAATGAGTTCCTACTTTAAAGACGGCATCCCTCGGGCGACTGTGCTTAGTGTGCGGAGAGGCGTTTGCAGGAATGGCCAAATCCTTTACAACGAGTATTATATCTTATCTTAGACTTCTTCACTAAATAGGGTTAGTGGTAAATGTCCGTTAAAAATAAAGTGTGAAGAGCACAGAACATGGTCTGGTCTTTTCGCCGAAAGAAGGTGTCTCTTGCGTCTACGAAATCGATCGGTTGACTAGGTACAGAGTGTCAGGAGACCAAAGCATTTTCGTAGCCTACGATGGAAAGTATCATGATCTCGCATGCAGCTAATACCACCCTCCCTTTCTTTTAGTCAATAGAACAAGGGCACAACAATGAGCGTACTACCGACTGAAGACTGCGTAGGGTCCACCTATTCCATCACCTTACTTAACACGAGGGTTGCGGGCACGGGAAGCGGCCACCAACACAGATAGCATCAAACCTTCTTTCAATCAACCCAAGAATCGGATACTTCCCAAGCTTGAAAACGCTTTGTGTGTTTCATTTTCATTTCCTAAGCGAAAGGTGCTGCCGCACCGCGCCATAATGTCTTAGTGTTGGTGGTCGCGATCAATGCCACCGGGGATTCGGACACCATGCGGGCAATGCCGGAGGGAAACATCAATGCCAGGATCTAGGCAGCCAGGCAACAGGGCCAGCGATGGTCAGATCCCAATTGTTAAAATCTCAAATGAAGGACGACCTTCCCGGGCTTATTCGGATGAGTAAGACAGCCTGCAGAGACAGCCCCCAACGTCCATGGCTACATATAGTATTGGTCTGTTGTTGTCGGCCTGGCGCTGCACGTAATCTTGCTGCAGACCGCCGTCACAAGAGCGCAAGACAGATGCAGCATCAGGCCACACCGAAATGAAAGCAATGCAACCACAGCACTGATTCAATTTTCGCTGTCCCAACGGGGCTTAGGTAAAGCTCGTGCGCTTTTCGGGGACTGGCGGCATGCGGAGACGGACGGAGTCGACCCAAGTGCCCTGACAGAGAAGAATCTGGCAGGAACCCTGCCTCTACCTATTGGTGGGCTGGGTCAAGGCTGTCTGGACCAATTCTGCCATCCGATGGTGCGGAATTTGAAGGGGGCGCTAGGACGCATGAAGACCAAAGCATTTTGGGTTCGAGCGGAATCGCAAGCGCGCGAGCCAACCTCCAGGGTTGGGTTTAGGCCGAACTCAAGCAAACGCCCTTGGAGGCAGGAAAGCCACAAGAGATTTGCCGAGACAGAGACGCAGACCCCGTTGTGAGCCGTTGAGCAGGGGCTTTGCATCGAGTCAACAGTTATCGATGATCAACGGGTCCATGAAGAGTCGTCTGGATCGAGTCAACGATTCACAAAGATATCCAAATCATTTGGAAAAACAGGAAATCGCGCCTTCTTCGACACTAAACAAGAAGTCAGCTCGACCTTCAACTGGAAAACAAAGCTTTTCATTAAAATACCCATTTCCGCGGTACGAAAGCGAGCTGTGACTGGCGCTTGGCTCCATGGGTCTCCCCATGCATCCCCATGCGGGGAAGTGGGATCTCGACGTCCTGCTTAGAGACCCCGACAGCCCGAGAAGAACTCGTCACAACAGACCGGGCTCCCTTGGCCCTCTTCCCTTGTTGGCTGTTGGGAGGGAGCTTCTTACCGTTCCCCCGGACGATCGCGCGAATCATACATCAGCGTAGACCACAGTCCCGGATCATCAATGACCTTTTTCAAAACTTAGCTGCATGCAGCTCGGCAACCATCATCTTTCAAAAATGCCCATTGCCCGCCCTTCTTTTGCCCGTCTTTCGCGTACTCCTCGCCTCTACTAGTGCTCCCTCTTGCGTCTCCCTGCAGTTGCCCGTCGCTTTGCCAGACCATATAACGCGGTGCACGCAAGCGTTTGAAGGAGAGCTACACTAGAATTAAGGCGTCTTGGCGAAGGCTGGGGGCGGTGGCAGCTGACTCAGAATCCCGTCCCTTCGACCCTTTCTCCCTTTCACTCCTCCTTCCGGCTCTTTCAGCGTCCATTCTTGGATCCTGCGCGCCCTTGCTCTTAAAACTGCTGGCGTTGCCCTGTCCATCAGTTCGTCCCATCTGCGGTTTCTTTTTTCCCCACACCCCGCGACGCCAAACCGTTCAAACGCGCAGAATCCACATTGAACGACAAGTTCGAGGTCCTGGGCCGAGCCGTTTTCAGCCAAGGGGCAGCAGCAGCAAGGTGCTTTCAAAGGCCGCCGAGACTATTTGGAGCCAATACCACAAGCAACAGATTCAAAGAACAGTGCCACATTGGAAGAGGGAGGCAGAGCATCAACAACATACAAGACCACCATGTCGACACCAGCATAACGGCCTTCGTTGCCGCCACTGAGCAGCCCAACAACAACAACACCACTATCAACGAACATCATGTCAGCAGACGTAACCTTCGACATCGTCACGGCCAGCATCTGCGCCGCCATTGTTCTCGTTCGCTGCGGATACCGCCTGTTCTGGCGATGTAGAGTTCACGAATCCTGCCACCGGACATGGCACGTAGACGATGCCTACATGGCCTTTGCTCTCATACCGCTAATCGGCCGCACAACTTGCATCTCGGTTTCCTTCATTCTCAACCCAACACACACATACGGACCCGCCACTGACGAGGCAGCGGCTGCGCGCAATCTCACCATTGAGAAGCTTGCCGAGTATTACGTCATCTCACATAAGTTGCTTATCCCGGCGCGGATATTCTATGCTCTGTTGTACGTTGCTTACGTCTGCACTCATCGGGACTCGCTGCGGCGATTCGTCAATTTCGCGCTCCCCTTTATTTATGCCGTGTGCTGACTCACTTTCCGTCTTAGCCTATGGTCTCTAAAGCTCTGCTTGCTCAACTTCTACTCCCGCTTCGTGGATGTTTTTCATTGGGGCAAAGTCGCCACCACTACTCTCTGGTGGTTTATCGTCGTTACTTTCTTCGTTATCCTGATACCCACTCTCGCGGAATGCCGGCCACTTCATTTGTAGGTTGTTCATTTATCTTGCAGGATGTACTTCTCTAATACCTTCACAGGATGTGGTCTCCCGATCTCTCTGGGACCAGTACGTTGAAGTCGAGATGCTCATACGTTACGTTGAAAACTAACTCAATTAATCAGATACCTGCCATCGAGCGCTCGGGAACCTGATTACTATGGCTGTTTTCAACGCCATCACCGATATTGCACTTATCGCTTTCCCATTTCCTATTCTGCGACACGTCAAGCTTGAGGGCAAAGTGTATGTTAATCCTCATGAAGGGGGGTTCAGCCTGAATACTAACGCGCCCACAGAAAGGCGCAACTCATCCTTTTGTTCAGCATCGCAGGCCTCATTGTTGTTATTACTATCTTACGAATACCCATGATACTGAACCAGGCAGTATCGCAGAGATCCCGCTCTATGGTAGGCAGCACCTAAGTGCCACTACAGCAACCGAGGACTAATGATTCGTTAGTGGGCATCTATTGAAATACTCTGCGCTTGTATCGTCGCAAACACAGCATTTTTTTACGCGTTATTGAAGGATTATCAGCGAGGACACGACACTCGTATCGGGGGCTTGAGCTACGCCCAACAACCCGACTATTATTTGCAAGCGATCCCTTCGCCTGACGCGCGCAGGGTTTCTTCCCGGTCCGACACCCTAGAAGTGCCGGATTATTGGTCGCGAGACAGCAGGTCTAGTAGATCTAGCAGTATACCCATGATTCCATGAATACGAATATCATATGGACTGTGAATTGCCGAGCGTCTCAATATACTCCTCTGGTGATACCATTTAAATAATTGTGTCGGCCTTTCACCTAGCTTTCTCCACTCTTGCAGATTTGTTTATGTTGCGTTTCTTAGTGCTGACGCGGATATTAGCAGCAGGATTACCCCTTGCTTATCCGTTCTTCTGCAAACCACCTTCCGCGCGTTGCTTGTGTGGATCCGCCGCCTTAACTCACACATCGCTGTACGGGTTGCAGTCCGCTGGACATTGCTGACTGATGAAAGTGGACGGTCTTCGGAATCTAAAGCCACTTCGGTGCACTCAGCGAACATAAATGCTAGTCGATCATCATCTGCTGCTCAATACATGTAACATGTAACGAAGCTGCCCGAGAGTCCCAACATCCAACTCGTTGCAAAGCTTGGCTGGGACAGTGGTGCTTCTTCCGAATCGACTAAGACTCGTAGTAGCGTTTCGTTATGCAGACAACCGCTCCAGTCATCGCCCTCAGATTTATCGCGGAACTGATTGTGTTGAGAGAGAGAGTTTTGGTGTGTCCAGAAGTGCGGCTACCATTCTCGAGAGTCATGACTGCCGAGGTTTGAGAGCACATCGAAGTAGAACCAGCTTTTGCCCTTTTATAGTGGATTGATCTTTCTTAGTGCTGTATTTAGTCTGTTAGTAAACATGGAGTCCACGCAACGCTTTGGGTTATCTACATACTTCATATCAGATTAAACCTGGTCCCTTTTCCATAACGAGCTCTTGAAGTTTGCCTGCATAGAAGTGGTTTGATACTGGAACGGGGCAGGGTTTCCTGCTCCCATTGAGATGGTCTTTGCGTTTGGTTTCTATGATTCCTTAGCTAAGCAGGGTCTGATCAGGGGTATAGAAACCTCTATAACAAGGAGAGATATAAGGGACACACCAACAATCAACACACACTTTCAGACTTTTCTGAGCCCAAGGGAGCATCCTTTCTGTCTTTCGTGATGACCAACACCCTGATCACACCTACACAAGAACCTTGGGAGTCTCTACTTTATTCATCGCGCTGTGGCCAAGCCTGATGAGGGCACATCTGACCTGATCAGGACAGCTGATTCGCTACTGGTTAAAGGCATCTTGCGGAGCTATAGGGGAGGTTGTGGTTGTCCACCGCACCGCACCGCTCTCTATAGACCTGATCACCCTGCACGCTTTCAATAGTGAAGCTGTTAGTAAATTCGTAAGTGCTATAGTAAAAGGTATCTTGTTTTTATACGTCCTGCCTTTTGCATCGCTCTGATAGCGTCATCCTTTTCCTTGATCAGCCCGGCAATGCATGACCCAGGATCATGATCCTGATCAATTTATTCCTGCATGTGAGTGTCAATAAGGATAAAGGCGCTGACGACATGAGCCATATGACTCTAGCCCTAGTTGAGTTGGAACTTATAGAACTTGCTCAAAATAACTCATTACTACATCTACCTGAGTCTCTTGTAGAAAATCAGATGGGAATAAATGGGAACCATTGTCCTGAGCTCTAGATAAAGCTGGCTACCGCAGCCTCAGATACACCAGTTTCTGTAGCGTTGAGTTTCCGCACTCATCTTTTCACTAACTTCTTCCATCTCCCCACCTCCATTCATCATGTCAGCACTTGTGTGTGTGCCGGCGACCTTCAGCAATTTGACCTTATTCGGGGCAGAGATTCTATCTTTGGATACAAGCCTCATCACCAACTATAGCAGTTCCGTACCTTCGGCGGTTAGATTCACTCAGCCGTCAGTAGAAGTGCAGAATGTTAGCTTTTGCAACATCACTGTAACTTACACACACCCGGGGCAAAGTGACACCGTTATTGTCGAAGCCTGGCTTCCGGCAGACGGCTGGAACGGACGGCTTCAGGCCGTCGGAGGCGGTGGCTGGGTCGCGGGGCGCTCTGTACCCTTCTACAGTGCTATGAGCGGAGCGATTGGCGATGGCTACGCGACAATAACCACCGACGCCGGGCTCGGTGACGCCCCAGACGCAAGTACTTGGGCGTTGCTTAGCCCCGGAAACGTGAATTTGTACGGGCTACAAAACCTCGCGTCAGTGTCCCTGGAAGACGAGGCGAGTGCCAAGACCTCCTGCCCCCATGAATGACGTCTGTTTCTCATTATCAATACAGGCAGTCATTGGAAAGCTGCTCATTAAGTATTACTACGGCCGCGGACCGGAGTATTCGTACTTCAATGGCTGCTCGCAGGGCGGTCGACAGGGACTTATGCTCGCCCAACGCTATCCGACAGCCTACGACGGAATCGCGGCCGGCGCCCCTGGCATACAATGGACCGATTTCTTCCCTAGCATGCTGTGGCCACAGCAATTCATGAACATGCTGGGCGAGTACCCCCACGCATGCGAGCTGCACGCCATCACGGCAGCTGCAGTCTCGACCTGCGACAGGCTGGACGGCGTGGCTGATGGTGTCATTAGCGAGGTTGATGACTGTCTTGCTAGCTTTAATCCTTTTGGCATGGTCGGCCGGGCTGTCAACTGTTCTCAGGCACCCGAGGTCACCTCAGCGGCAGCAGCCGTAGTTAACGCGACATGGCAGGGGATAAGGGACTCTTTGGGCGTGCAGACGTGGCCGGGTCTGAACCCGGGTACTGACCTTACTGTTGGCGTCGCGACAACGAACTGCACCGCTATATCATGCGAGGGTGTGCCTCTGCCCATCGCCCTCCAGTGGCTATCGCTGTTCGTCGCGAGGGACGCAGACCTGAACCTGTCTGACCTGAGCCATGTTGAGTTCGACTGGCTGGCCCACCAGGGTCGGCAGAGATACAGGTCCATCATCGGGACTGACGACCCCGACCTTTCTGCCTTTAGTGACGCCGGTGGCAAGCTCGTCACCTTTCACGGTCTTGTAAGTTCATTCCTCTTGCTAAGTGTGCTATCATTTTGCGGCGTCCAGCACGATATCTGACGCTTGAACAGGTCGACGAGCTACTCCCCTCGAAGGGCACTGTCAAGTACCACGACGGAGTCTTGGCCCTCATCCCGGATGTCCGTAGCTTCTACCGCCACTTCGAGGTGCCTGGCATGGGTCACTGCGCCGGAGGAGCGAGCGGAGGGCCGACCAGCCTTTTCGACCAGCTGCGCGCATGGGTCGAGAACGGTACCGCGCCTGATCAAACACCGGTCACCGTCACGGATCTGGAGGGGGCCGTGCAAAGTCGTATCTTGTGCCCGTATCCACAAAAGGCTGCTTTCGATCGGGACTGCGGTACCACAGCCGAAGCCCGGTGCTGGTCGTGCAGCGGCTGAACCTGTCTCAATGATGAACGCGTACCAGTAGCCGTTTTTCTCCTACCTAGGTTGAGAGATATGTTCAGTGTACATGGTTATAATACAGACCCTGCCAATGGTCACTTTATTGGAGCCCGTCGCGTTATTAGTACGGACTCAAAGTTGGCCGGCCCCATCGATCCATTCAGCACATGGTGGAAGAGAAACGGGATTCAGTCTCCTAATTTCAATGAGCTTGGCTGTGGCTTGGTAATTGTGCGCGGTATTTTTGAAGTCGAGAAATCCTCTTTGAAACTTGAAATGCTGATGTAGTTAGAAAGATCGAGTGATGACGATTAGTGGGTAGTGAGTAATGAGGGAGAGACGGGAACGAGCTTCAGCATTGAGCGGGGGTTGTCAATGAATATTTAAGTTGTTCCGCCGTACGTGTGTTACTTGGACCAGCAACTATCTTGTCTTCGTTGTCTGTAGCGCCACCTGGGGAATCACGAGCCAGGCGCGCGTTGAAGGGCGGTCGATCTTCCTCTCCACTGCGGCTTTGAGCCTCTGGCGGGTGTGCGTTCTGTCCTACGATGCTGTTCTTGACCAGCTCAATATGATTTTCTCGAAGGCCGTCCCCTTGTCCTCGTGCTGCTCAAGAACCCATCATCTGGGTTGAGAATGATATTCTCTAAGCGAGGTCCCATGAAAGCCCCCTATTTTGAGTGACATGCCTTAACTTAGTTTCAAAACTAGCAAATGCCACGCTGGAAAACTCAGTACTTCCAAGACAGTGCTGGCTTGGTTGGCAGAGATCAGCATCTAATTGCTTTTACGGTTGCGGATGGAGCACGGATGCCTCCATGCAACCACAACGAAATAAACGAAGACAGATCTCTTGATGCACGAGTATCTGGACTTGGCAGTTAGATCATTCCAGTGTGAGAAGAACTTTATGCAGCCAAGAAGTGATTACAAGCTAGGAGATACAGAAACAAGTCTATGCCATGTGGCTCCCATGATGATGGAAGGACGAGCTGCATGATCAGCTTATCAAACACTCCTCAGCTGTCCCCGCTAAGACTACAGTGAGGGAGTTAAGGTTTAGTATCCCGGGAGTCGGTTATACAGTCTAATGACTTTGGCCGTCGATCAGGGTCATCTCGGTAGTTAGGACACCGCCATGCAGCATGCTGGCTGTCTTTGGCTGCCTCGTCGTATGAACAGGGTTATGTCGCAGCGGGTCTAGTCAGACAACATGCCAGCCTACCTCTGAGTCCAGAGCCTTGGGCACAGGGGGGTGTACACAGGCCTGCGAAAAAGCTTGATCTCAAAGGTCCGGTTGATTTCGGAGTGCATATAACAGTCAACCACTTGCACACCTACCTTCCTATCATGACAGGATACTCCGACAACATCTCTATTTGAACCAAACTTGTACACAAACACGATCTTTTGAAAAGATATGGAATATTTTGACATTATGAACCACTTCAGTGACAAAAGTCTAAGGGCGCTCCCAGCATAACGAGGCTCAGTATTTATGTCGAACACTGGACGGAAGTTCGTTCCAGATCCAATACCTCCCAGGTAATTGAGCCAGCAAGTGTCGATGACTCTATCACCAAGTCGACGACTCAGCCTAATGCGAGAGTCTGGTTCCTGGAAGCTTGGAAACCGTGACGTTAGCCTGTGCACTTCCGCGTTCAAGACTGGGATCTCGCGCGTGGGAATAACCGTTTTTCATGGCTCCGGCGGCTAACCAAGGATCTCACCCGAGACTGCAGTCTAGGTGGACCTAATCCAGAGAATTTGGAGAAGAGGAGAAAGCGGGGCAGGGCCCATCCAGGCACGTCTGGATACTTGGTAAAGCAGGCCAGATCTTCGTGCTCGGTCATATTCCGAGTTGAAATAAAAGAGGAGACGCGGGGCGGTGTGGAGGAGACGACTCCAGAACTGCTCCGGAATCTTCCCCCAGGTATCCGTATTATTTCTTATGAGGAGGCGGGCTCTGGATACGCGGGATTGGCCGGGTGAAGAGTGGACATCATTGACATTGCGGTCGGTCTCGTAAGGTAAACGTGGCGGGGATTACGGAAGTACTGACATGGTGTTGGAGAGCCCATAGTCCGGCGTTTGTCACTGTTGTTCTCTTTTTCTCTCTCTATCATTTGTTGTCATTGTTTCAGTTGGGGAAATTTTCCCAATTCCTTTCCCCTTGTCATCCTGCCCCAATAGGAGATCATCGCCGTATTCCCATCAATGACGATGGGATAGTAACATCACGCAACTCATACTACTTACGGGCAAGCAAGTATACATGGACCAACGCTTGAAGGACCGAGTTCATTGTGGCATTAATCGATTCTACTCACATGATCATTGCTAGATCTTTCAACGCGCACGAGTCTCAAATTGTGCGGCTAGTAGGTATCTTTAATTACAAATGTAATACGCTCTTTTCATGGGTATCAAATAACCGCGGAATATCCATTATATATAATTCATAGCACTCAGACAAGGTATCTGAAGCCCTTGCCCATCATGCGAGCAGCCTCAATCTCGTCGCCATTAGTGACATCGGCGGTCTGGTGGGCAACGTCCCCGTGGACCTCCCAGGCGCGCTCGCCAGCCTCGAGCTTCTTGTTTAGGTTATCGAGGATGACCTTGAAGATGTAGCAACCGACGATGGTGGCGCCGAACATGGCGGTGACAATACCGTAACTCTTGCGGAATCCGTTGTCTGAGAGACTCCAAACGTAGGATCCGGCGATATTGCCCAGCTGGGAGAAGGCATTTATCATAGCGATCGCGACGGCACGCTTGGCAGGAGGACGAGGAAAGGAAGAGGATATCCAGGAGTAAAAGACAATAAAGCCGGCGTACGAGCTGGCCTGGAGGAAGAGGGCGACGTAGCGGGCGGCGACGTTCAGGGTTGACATGGAGATGACGAAACCGACGAGACCGACGCAGATGGGGCCGACAATGTGCCAGAACTGAAACAAGTTAGCATTACGTTCTTCAATTTCAGAGGCTTAGAGTAACTTACTCTCTCCTGCTGACGATCAGCATGCCAGGCGTTGATGAGGGAGACGATGCAGGAGAAGGCCCAGGGAGGCGAGCTCATGAGCAGAGTCGGGACATAGCTGAAGCCAAGAGTACCGGTGAGAGTGGGCTTGGAGAAAGTTAGCGAGGCCTGTTTTCAATATTTGGGATAGCAGTACTTACGAAGAAGGCGTTGAATGACAGGCCAACGACGTAAGCAGTAAAGGTAATCATCATAACGTAGATCTTGACATCCTTGACAGCCATGTACAATCCATCCATTGGGCCCATCTCATCCGAGTCAACATCAGCCTCACCGACATCTTCAGTCATACGAAGCTGCGCAACGTATAGCTCCTCCTCAGTAAAACCTTTGGAGTTGGTAGGGAGATCAGGAAGGATGAACGCGGCGGAGATGGCGACGGCCATGGTGATGGCACCCTCGATCCAGAAAAGCCAGCGCCAAGCAGCGTGGCCGAGGACACCCTGCATGTTGGATAGGACACCGGCACCAATCAAGGCTGAGAAGGCGTTGGAGATGAGGTTACCGCAGAACAGGATGGCGTTGCGGGTGCTGAGCTCGCGGCGGGTGTACCACTTGGATAGAATAAGCAGGGCACCGGGCAGGAAGGCGGCCTCGACAAAACCAAGGCAGAAACGCGTAGCGACCATGCCACCGAAGTTGGTGGTGACGCCGGACAGGGTTGAGATGAGACCCCAGACCAGCATAGCAGCGGAGATGTACCAAGACGGACGTGAGATCTTGTTGATGACCATGTTGGAAGGGACCTGCATGAGAATGTAGCCGACATACAGAATACTCAAGCAAGTGGCGTATTGGGTGTTGTTCAAGTTGAGGTCACTTTGCAGACCGCGAAGACGGGCGGCTGCGATGTTGTTTCTGTCGAGGTAGTCTGTAGTTTCTCGTGTTAGTGCATCGGCCGAGCGCAGCAAGGGCGCGAGTGAGCGAAGGCATACTCATGATGTAGATGAGCACGAATAGCGAGCATCGCGTGTCAATCTTGCGTTTCAAGCTCTTCTCAACAGCCACGCGACGCTCTGGACTCATGGTCCGCGGCGCGTTAGGATCCGCAGGAACCTGGTTCTCGACATTGTCAACGTCGGCGCCCTTGCTGTCGAGACCCTGTGTGATTTTCATCTGGTCGTTGAGCTGCGCGGAGTCCATCTTTGCGGTCGTGTCTTGTCGGCTCTCTTGCACAACTACGAGATGGTTGAGAGCTTGAGCTGCGAGACAGGGAGAATGGAGAAGAAAATCAGAGGACGTCTGGATTGTCTCGAGATAGACTCTGGGAGAATTCACAAATGGTGGGAAGTCAAAAGTTATAAAGGGTGGCGGCACGCTTCGGTCAAGTCCCGTGGTTCCCGCGGGGGGAAACAATTAACCACCCCCCTCTCCCAACAACCATTTTTTTATGTGGGGTGAGACCTGATGCACCACATATCGAACAATTCCTACTGCGTGCGCGAGCGTGAGAAGTAAGGGTTTGAGTAAGCCGGGATCCGGAATGAAAGGCTCCAGTCTGTTGCAGTCCTCGTCCGACCCAAGTACGCGACCAACAACAGTTGAGGATTCGCACCTGCAATGGAGCTTCTTCGGCCCCATCAGGATGACGTGGGGAACAAGCCCGCTTATCCACGGGGAAGCAGGACGGGGTTAATCGGGGGTCGGGGTAGAGGAAAAGAGACCTCGAGACCTGTGGTTAGACAAGGCACGGAGCAGTTCAAGCTTGTGCTTGCATCCGCGGCGGGGAACGTCACCTTGCATCCCGGGGGCGATAAACCATCGAACCAGTTTCCGTTGCCCCATTGCCCCAGAGTCGGGGTTTGAAACGACACTGATCGGTCATCGGAGTCCTGGAGGGCCCCTTGACTTCCCAAGTTCAAACTTCCCCGAGGGGATCCCGCAATTCCTGTTAAGACTGAGGAGAAAAACACGCACTACTGGGACAGATGGGGAGAATTTGTCGGTTGGGGATAGGACCAGTGTTTTGACCGGAGTGATCCCACTAGCTGAGCGCCAATCCGCGTCAAGTGCCGGATGGGATCCGTCGTCTTGCATCTAGGTAGTCGCGATGAAAAAGACTCAAGCATCTTTTGTCTCCGCAGGCTTGTGGTGTGGGAACCGGGACAAAAAAACTATAGAGGCCAGCGTGGGGTAGCCAGCCATCCAATAAGCTTCTTACCGAATAGGCGAGGCTTGTCTCATTGGGGATAAGATCAACGGCGCTCATCTCCCAAACCGGGACGTGTCGCCGACATAGGACGGCTTTGACCAACCGCAAGGCGCGGAGTCTTGCGGAGTTTAAACAACTGTGACGTGAATGAACTCGTTTCGAAATCTCCTGCCTTTCCCGAGGATTATCTTCCTAGAGACCGCTGGCCAAGACCAACTGTGCCTACAGGAACGCCAGTAACCACCAGCTCACGTGGCTGTACCATCCTACACACTCTGGGGCGGATGACGTTTCTGTATAGACTTCCGTGACACCACAAAACGTGGCTTTCGACCGATTGCTTGGTTGAGATGCTCGGCGCAGCATCCGGCCATACCGTCTTGCTGGCGTCAGATTTTATGCATATCTTGCATGCCAAGAGTCCGACGTCGCCCAAGGGCTGCGACGAAGTGGACATTGCGCCAAGTTCAGAGTCATTTGAAGACGTCTGTACGTATGGGCTAAAGACATGAAAATCCATGTTCGCCATGCTTGGCGTCCCGCTGTGAGTTTTTTCATCGTAAGGGCCATCCTCACGCTTATAAATCCGCCTGCTTCCTCCAAGAACCTTTAGGCTTGGGTAGGCCTGCTTCTCAGAGCAAGTCAGCCATTGACGCCAGGCCTCTTACTGCATCTGGTCTTCATCCGGACTCTGGTTGGTGGCTTTAGGGTCCGATATAGTTTGGGTCACAACCTTAGACGGTTGCCACGCCGGGGAATACGCCTATGCGGCGGACAGAACTCCTCTTATGATCTATCAAAGAGGCCGTATTCCCCTCTCAACTTGTGTTGCGAGAGGGCTCAGTAAGTACTATTTATGAAGATCTAGAGGCGGGCATCATCAACTTTTGCGAACACATGACCAACGAACTTGCGCAGCAGGAGATGTATCGTTTGTGGAAGTATTCACAAACTACTAGGAGCTAACAAGACATACATCGGTTCCCCAAGCCATGGACCATAAAAGCTCGAGCATGCCCTACATTCAAAGCCGGGTCAAGAACCTTGCTGTTGCAAAACCGCGTCCTCTCTTATCAATCTACAAACGTTTCGAGAAGCGAGAAGTACTTCTAGAGGTCAAGTCCAGCAGGTGTTTCAATCACGGATCACTCTTGCCGAGAAGAAACCGCCAGTTGTGTTCGGTGAAGTGTGCATAGTGGTTTAACGGACGTCCTTGTGTGGTATTCAGGGATCGACGATGCCCATAGCCTTTATTTTCTCGTGCCTCTGAATGATTCGAAAGGGTCCCTTCATATCATAACCGTGGTGCAACAAGATTAGGCCTTGGCTTTAAGGTGCATCATATTGAAGGTTGACAGATAGGATGTCATCCCGACTTCGTCAGACTTCAGCAACGTCGTGCACAGGAGACCGGCGAAGCCATTCTAGATGCTCTCTGCCAACTTGACGGGGTAGGAGACTCTCATGACATCGTTGCTCCTGAGTCTCCGCTCATTAAGAGCTTCTCAGCGGCCGCTTCGTCATCTTCGTCGTCAGTGTCTTCGTCGTCGTCTCCTCCCATCAGGTCGATGACGAGGACTGATCCTGAGCTCAGAGTATCCAGTTGGAAACCTGCTTGTAAGACTTCAGGAGCATCGAATATGCAACCAGCTACATCGAGGCTTATGTCTGCGTCTTTCAACGCCAGGCAGACAAGGCGGAAATGATCATGATGCGCATCAACCGCATCTGCACCGTCCTTTTCTCCATCGAATATCAAGACGACGTTGCGGTGGCTGAAGCAGAAAGTGTCGTTGACCTCAGGACGAGCCGCATCTTTAAGCGCTGCCGCGAGTTTGGATGGCTCGGTCTGAGTGTTAGCCGTGAGTCGTGTAAAGATGCGACCCTTCAGCAGGGCCTCTGCCGTGCTCGGTTTCGCGGGGGAGAAGATGGTGACGTTAGGAGGTAACGCTGGGGCGCTAGAGACTTGCGCGGTTGACGAGCCTTTCGCGTTCATATTGTGGGTTGAAGATGTTTTCTTACAATCCTGATGAGTGACAGTTCAGCTTCCAGAATTCATGGTTGGCACTCCGAGGCGCAAAGTTTTTGTGCTGACTAACACATCGGTGGGGTTTTGCGGAGGTGATCGGGGCCGATGAGGCCCGAAATATGGTCGAGTGGGCCCCAACCACGCCGGGAAAGCACTGAAATGGTAGTTACTGTGATCATTGAGGCCATGGCCGTAAGTTTCAGTCTACTTTTCTCATTTGTTTTGAAGCCTCGCCTTATCATTCGCGAATCTCGAAATTCTGTTGCATGCAACAAGAGGCCTAGGTTTGAGATGGCGTTTAGACTGGCCTTTCGGTAGTCATCAGCGAATGATTGACACTCAGACGATAAGATACTACAATCTTCACGAGCAGAAGAGGCCATCACCCAGATTTCTTTCCGGTTCAGTGCTCATCGCTAGTATGTGAATCTGCTGGCATCAGCTCCGCAGCCATCCTCATTGCTGTCCTTGAAGCGAATCAAAACTGCAATGATTTTCCTTGTCAGCATGTCCTCTTGAGTCTAAGGCAGACTTGGCCTGCATGGTGATGCAAGAAGGGTCCCAAGTAGCTCGGGGTCCGCTGATCCGGCTGATTGAGCAATCGCGATTGGACTGCGCCGTAGGGAGTAAACCCAAGCTTTATGAAGTTCCCACCACTACACTTCGAAAATCTTCTCGTGGAGCGTCATCCAAAGTGGCGCATGATGGCCTAATTCATTCAATGGAGGAAGTTTGGCTACATGCGAGTGAGTTTGATTGTGAACACGAACACCATTGGCGATGGCGATGGTTGATCTTCAATCTGCTGATATTCGGAACTGAACGTGCCTTTTGCGAATATGGCAATGATGGTCACGATAGCCTCATCGAGATGAGCTTGTATGACGTGGATTTATACTACTCTCATTCATCCAAGGTCGAATATATGGCATTTGTGCAAGACGAAACTCAAGGTCGAGGTCTATATAAGCTACCCGAGGCTCCCCTTCGAAAAATGCTGTTACTCTTCACAGCAAACCAAACAGACAACACGCACATCAAACACGCAACCATTTATTTTGGCAAATACCGTAACTCCACATCGTTTTCTCAATTCGACGAAAATAATGGCTCCCAAGTGAGTTTCCCGACTAGAAGAAAACCTTCGAGAGTCCGGGAACAGCCTAATTAACACGAACTCAACCGTCGAAGCTCCAACAGACGTTTCTCATTCACTCTCTCGCCAGCTTCTAAAGCTACGAAGCGTGTGATGGCACAACGAACCGATAATCGTCGCTCCTTTGATTCCCAAGCTAGTTCATCCACGCTTGGCGCTATGCCTGTCGTCGAAGTCGAAAGCTATTTGACAGCCCCGGCAGCCTGTTGGTCGACCGCGAATCGAATCTAGATCCTTTGTGGCATGGATCCCCCTCGCAATGTCATATAAGTAGAGAATGATATCTATTTGCGTTGTAGGAATCAGGTCGCAGCGATACTCTCGTTCTGATTTTCAGTTTAGTGAATACCCTGATCGGAAAGGACGTGCTTTGGATGATGTTTTAATAAAAGCTCATGTCAAATAACAAAACACAAACAATATCATAAATGTATCAAGAAAATGCCATTAAGAAGATATCGTATTGAGAATCACATGGTTTGTGAGGCGGTGTAGCATGTCGCAGAAGATATAACAACCTGGCGCTCCCCATCCAACTAATTGATTGCGAGTTCAAACGCCACTCCAACTTCAGAGAGATACTTTGAAGAACCTGGCAACACAGGGTACTCCAGCCTCATTCATAGAAAAAAGCATATAGTACCCAGGGACTGCGACCCCGTAGTCATTAGGGACATTGACAGTAAACTCTTTGCCATCTCCACTATCTTGTCCCTCCAGGGGAATCCGTCGCTGATCCGTGTTAACTGTGTGCGTAGTGGCGCTGACTCGAATCATGCTAAATTTGTAGGTGCCGGCATCCTGCATGGTGATAGTGATCGGAGCTCCTGCCTTTACAGTGGTTTCTGACAGGCTTTGGATCACTGGTCGCTGGGCTGGAGTCTTCCCATCGGCCTGGAACAGGTATGGCGGTGACCAGAACTGTCCGTCAAAATGGTTCTCCTTGCAGTTCGCGCCACAAAGACCGCCCCCGCCGGACCAGATCGTAGCATCCGCCATCAAAAGCGCTGTGGAGTGGTAGTTACGCGGGACGGTATGCGGCGTCGTGGGAGTAAAGTTGCCTGTCGCTGGGTCAAACAGCTCTGGGGTGAGTTGGGGAGTGTTATCTGAAAAGAGTTGCATTTGTTGCATTCCACCAACGATCCAAATTTTGCCGTCGGGCAACACAACGGCGTTGGAAAAGCCGCGGTTATACTTGCCATTCTGTAGCTTTTGTACCTGCACGGCCTGTCCGGGCTCGCCAAGAGTCAGGATATGGGCGTTGCTGCTCGACGTAACGCCGGTATAAGCCTTGCCACCACCATAACTATGGACACGAGTTAGATCCACCGAAACAGAACAAGGGGCGAGTTGAGCTGTTCCATGGCTTACGTGAAGATTTTCCCTGCCACCGCGTCGTACATCACAGAGACGCCGCACATAGAATCGTCATCAATACCTCGCAAACCGGCGGGCGTGTTTGCGCCGGTACCCTTGGTATCGTACCAGTTCATCTGCTTGGCGGGGCCGGCTTGAAGAACGTATCCATTCTTCCATGACCACAACCAAGCGTGGCTGTCGGGGAACATACCCCTCTGCATAACCAGCGGTTTAACAGGGCATCCGGCCAGCTTCGTCCAAGTGTTGGCTTTGGGATCATAGATCTCGCCATCTCGTTTGCCCGCTCCGGAAAAGGAGCCACCAATCACGAATATCTTACCTTCAGAACTTATAAAGGTTATCATCAGTGTCTCTTCCAATCCTGAATGGGCGCTGCGTAATCTTACGTTGTACAACTCGATTGGTACCCCCTTGAAATTTGCATGTTGGATAACGGCGTCCATGAAGAGGACTCGCCCTTTTTAAAGTCAAGGACGCTAGTTTTTGAGGCGCTGGAGCCTCCCGTTACTATGATGCGTCCATCTGCATCCATAGATGTGCCGGGACAGAACATGTCGTGCTGTGTGTTCTATGCCATAAATCTGTATTAGGATATTGGGTTTTTCTTGAGCGATACGTAGATCTGTAAACTGACCAGCTCAGAGAGAGCTGGTGAAAGGTACTACTAATGTTACTTACCTGGATAAGTGCATCGCTAATCTTGCCAGTTTTAACGTCATAAGTTGATGTGTAGGTTTTTCCATTGCCGGCGGTTGTCCAGCGATTACTATTAGATATTCGATGTCAGAGTTTTATCTCTTTTGCCGTCGACGAAGCATTCCATAACGCCAAATTTCAATTATGGGACATGAGGAAGAAGGGATTGTCTTACGGCCAACCACTGGACCAAACTAGCAGGTTACCCGTCTCGGGCAACAATGCCACAGAGACAGGCACCACCGGAAACTTGACCATGGGCCCCCATTGTCCGAAGTTCTGCGCTTCCGAGGCTGCGGCAAATGCGAGTAGCGCTGCAGGCAAGTTGCGGAGCGCGGAGTAAAACGTAACCATAATGAAAAGGTTCTTGTAATTGAAAACGAGTGATTTACTATAAAGTGTCGGCAGCGGCTGATGATGATCACTCAACAGAGGTATGGGGCGAGTAAACGTACTCGTTCTTATAAGCTACCCCTATGATTGTTCTCCAGAATGTCCACCTGGTGTGAAGGGGCACTTCCTCTTGGCTTCCTTCAAGTGCAAGAGCTATATGTTTCAGGCAGCTCTTGAAGCACAAACTCAATTTTTAACGTCAATCAAGCTACGGTGATTCGACAAGTTTGATAGATCGTTTGGATATGACTGGAGACCTGGAAAGGTTCTAGCCGTCATGTTCCGGTAGGTGGTAGGCAGGACGCGGCGCGGAGTCTAAAACGCGAGGCAAATACCGTTGCGACTTGGAGTGGCTCTCAACTTTCCCCTGAGCTAAGTATGGTGCTGTGACTATTTTTGTGTCATGCTTTACTTTTCGATTGAAGACTAGGGCCACAACACAGGATTTGGTCTCTTGGCGCCAGGAGGGGCTAGCCATTGTAGCGCGCCATTCGCCATTGTTCACCTAAGGTAGAGCCGTGCGTAAATTGACAGTCCTATGCTAGGCCTTCATGGACCCTTACCGCAAAGGGAAGCCGCTCACTGTAACGTTTGCTGTCATCGTATGCCTTTAAGCCTTCAGCGTTCAAGTAGTCACCTCATCCTCATTGATCACTGTTTCGGTCAGAGACACTGCTTAGTGTTTACTTGGCAGTAGTTTAGCACAACCGCCCAGAGAGTTCTTAGCCCTGAAGTAAAGAGTAGCGCGCTGTCCCATGTGTCCGAGCACATGCAAGAGGGCGCTAGGTGTGCTGACCTTTGCGCTTATTTTACCTACCATCGACAAAGTTGTAAAAAGAATGCCAAATACAGTCTCGGGATTTTTGCTGAAAATCTCGGGCAGTGAGCTGTAGTAGAACATGGTCATTATTAAAACCCTCGCATTCCTTCTCTCCAATGACCATCTAAGACTTATCACATTCCCACTTCATCACCATCGGTATCACTAGCACTATGTCATTTTTTCAAAAAGTCACCGTTATACTTGCAGTTCTTCTATTGGTTGCCACAAGATGCAATGCAAGATCCTGCCCCTCAGTCTGGACTAAGGTCGCAGCAGACCTGAAAGGTTCCTTTGCAGGCTGCCCTAGCGAGGCGAGACAGGCAATGCGCGCCGCGTTCCATGATTGTTTTCCAGGATCTTGCGACGGTTCTTTGATCCTGGCTAACGAATGCTTCGACAGAGAAGAAAACATGCAGATTCAGCCCATTTGCGACATACTGAGCCAAAAGGCCGTCGCCTATAATGTCAGCACCGCCGACATGATACAAGCGGCAGCAGGTTAGTGGCGTAATTGTAGCCACTTGAAATAAGAGTGTGCATTGAAATTTGCTAACGCAAAACATAGCATTTGGTGTTGCAGCCTGTGGTGGACCCAAAATTCACTTCCTTGTGGGGAGAAAGGATTCCGCTGTACCCAGCGCCGAGGGCGTCTTGCCCACACAAGACTCCGACGCAGCATCTCAGATCAATGCCTTCAAGAAAAAGGGGTTCACGGCTACAGATCTCGTGGCCCTTGTGGGAGCGCATAGCGCGGGACAGAGTGTACAGGAGCTGTCCTTCGATTCGACTCCTGACAAGCTGGACAGCACCGTCTATTACCCACAGACGCTAGAGGAGACGACGCCAACATCCCTAGGCAGCGATGTTGCTCTCGGAAACGCCAGGGAGACCAAAAACATATGGAAGGGCTTTGGGGCAAGCCAGGCACGTTGGAATTCTGCATTCAAGCTAGCGTAAGTGTTTGGCCACTTCCTTGGACTACCTCTAACGTCTACGCTAACCTTATGGGCAGTATGGGGAAGATGAGCATCATGGGAACTGACCTGGGGACACTTGCAGACTGCTCAAAGTTGGTGACCTAAGTGTTAAAGTAAAAAATATCTATGTTACGTGTTAAGATAACGACAAAGACCGTCCACGTATTGCGCCTACCAAGTGATACTCTAAGAATATTCGGATACGATTTGTTGGATCTGTTAAAAAAGATATGGACACGCTGACGGATTTCAAAGCGAGACCCATACGGCATTCTTTCCTTTAACTTTCTCATATGTGGATGAAGAAGAGTTCCGGCCAAGGCTTCGTGTGTAAGCCGCTAGATGTATGATTACATCTCAGCAACAGTAACAAAGTCTGAGGCTTCAAGCGCCCTTTGATCCAAGATCCTTCCCATGTGAGTCTTGTCTGTTGACTGGCAATTCCTCCTTATCTTCATCATGAGAATTCGGATAAACTGACGTAGATCTGAAGCTTCAGTATCAGTAATTTCTGTATAACACTCGTGATGGTCTGACTCAGAGTTCTCTTGATCAGTAGATCGTAGGCCTAAGAAGCGACTAATGCTTATGTACTTGTCCATAGATTTCATGTATAACTGGCCGGAGAACAAATTAAGCTCATTCTCGAAATTATCTGGCAGAAATCTTGTTGAAGGCTGAATTGGTATTGTGTAAAGGTCCAAGGTGTCCAATGGGCGGTATCCTATGTTTGGACGTGGAGCGTAGAGAAGGAGAGAAACAACTTTGGACTTCTCTATCGCTGGAAAAAGCTCTTGCGCCTCATAGGGACTGACGATTATGGCTGTTTCAACGGAACTTGCGCTTGATGGGCTCGTCAGGATCCATTGTACTGGTCTCTGAAACAGGTCTGATGTGTAGTCTCTGCCCAGTGAGACGATAGTCCGGGTAAAGTCTGCTGTGACTAGGAGAACGGGAGGAAACCTAGTCACGTCATAATGCCGGGCAGCGCTGGTGTCAGCAAGCGCTTGAAAAGCGAACAGTAAGGCGGGAGATCGGGTCGGAGGAACGCCTCGAGAAACAAATGTTCGAACATCGGGATGTACGAGGTGATTGGCAGGGGTTGCTGCAGGAGGCTTTTGCACTTGCCGTTCCTGTTCGACCTCCAGTGATAACTCTCGCTCTTGTTCCTCGCGGAAAGTCGTCGACTCTAGGTTAAGCCCTCCGAACTGTAGCAGTCTTTGTGTAATGCCGTCAAATTCATGTTCGCTGTTCAAGCCAATTTGGGAAGTGTCGGGCTGGCACTCTGGCTTGTGTCTCGTCTCAATAGATTATGCCTCTTCTTCGAAGAACTTCTCAGCCTGTTCGTCGCTCATCTAGGTCACCTCGTCGATGCGAGCCTCACACCGGAGGGCCGCATGACGGTGGTAACGGCGACCTTGGTTTGCCCATAGCCATATACCTCGCTAGAGGTCCGCGAAAGTCCCTGAGATGGACCACTCCAATACATGCGCTATCGTGATGTTGTTGCCCATGGTATGCGATCGTGATGCAATCTTTTGTCGGATTTCATCGGGGACACAAAAGACCACTGACTGACCCTTCCCGAGTTTCCGCATTCGCATGCACGCTTAAGCATGTGTTTAGCAAAATTTTACAAGAAAGGTATTAGTAAACTTACCCTGAATCAATCTGTCTTTGGTCAAGTTAGCCCCCAGTGTTACAGCCACACAATAGCTTTCAGGAAGCTTGAGATCTGTTCCACTTGTGTGCGCCTCGTCTAAGAACACCAAGCAAACATCGGCCTGGTTAGCAAATAAGGACGTCTGAAAGCTCTCAAACCGACCTCCGCAGTCAACAACACAGATTTGATCGTTTTCGTCACAGAAGATGACAACTTGCGTCGTTTCCTGGCCGTCCATAATCTCAAGCCACCGCTTCGCGACTCCAAAGTTGTCAAGCTCCAGAATCTGGGCACCGACATCAAGAATCACACGGACTAGTGGGTCCAACCGTACAACCATTTCCAACAGAGCCTCAGCATCTGAATTGGTGCCTCTTTGGGCCACAGGCATCAAAACAACAGAGTTCTCCTTTTGAAGTAGGTACTCCAAAACCAGGGCATCAGTAAAATTTTGTTCTAAGAGATCAAGTTATGTAACACTTAAAGGCAAAAAGACTCGAGAGTCGTTAGTGCCACTAAAACCAATGGTTACGTTCTTTTTCTGCACCCCAATATCCCAGCCAGAGGCCAGAAGCTTATATGGGAACTCCTTCGTTTCCTTAGGAAAAACAATATCTTAAAGAAAATAGTCAATAGTAGCTTTGGAGTAACAAATATAAGGAAATACTTTTTCAATGCACTGTAAGCGATCCTCGAGATTGATGCCCGACAGTTGTTGGAACGCGACGGGAAGGCGGTCGCTGCCTTGCACCCAGACGAAATACTCCATGTCGGCTTGGTCCAATCACACAAGGTGCTCAAAACTGAGGAAAATCTCAGAGTCATCTAATCCACCAAAATAATAACTCAAAGAAGTCAAAATTATAATCACGTCTAGGTAGCTGAATTCGGATCAGGCGCTTAGGTTAACCTTTGCTCGGTAAGGTACCGCAAGCCGCGTTCTGGGTCATCGTTAGGGATCTAGTCCATAATCCACCCTCCATCGCTTCTGACAGAAAACAAAGCTAAGAATACGGCAAGCAATAAGCCCTCGCAAAAGCAACAACATATCTTTCTTCAAGGTAGAACAGAGTTTGGAGTTCTCAACCGCATCAATCTCAGATTGGGACAGATTAGTCTTAGAGGTGTAAGTGAACACATATTCCCCCACGGTCTTGTTGCAAAGCTTGGAAAGCAGATTCGACAGTTGGTAGTCTTCTTTCTGGCACTTTCTAAATGATTCAAAGTCAAGAATCCAAGCTTCACTCGTAATAGAAGGCGGCAGAGAGTTCCTGAAGATGGCGTCTTCGCTGACAAAACGTGGTCTAAGGAACTGTGCAGCTTCCACCGTCGCCAACAGAGGCTTCGGCAGGGCTTTCGTGTTGATCACAGATGGCATAGAGCCGGTGATATCTCGAATATAAGTCTTTAATTGAAGGTTATCATACCATGTCCCGAACAGCGCTTCGGTTTCAGGTACTATGTCGTCAAGCTTGACATAATTGTGCCACAAGGGCGTGTCGGAATGATTGGGCGGAATCTTGGGAATCCGGCACGGCCACTGGGACTCAAGAGCATTGAGAAGACTGTCTATCGCCCTGTTGCTGTTATTCTGGAACAGCCTTTGTCGGCGTCGATTGAAAGAACGATCGGATTCTGCTTTTTCTTGCTCCAAAGCAGCTTCAGGGCTTTCAGCGAAAGTTGCGGAGCCCTGCTCGAGACACCGACGAATTTCCGTTGCGCTGAAGTAGCCTCCATGCCTTAGATCAAATGGTCTCCCACTGGCGCCGAAATTCTCGCAACGTTCTCGCACGTCTGGAAGCAAGCAAACGTCTGAAGTATAGCCATGTCTAATTTCTCTGTGAAGGCTAGCGTTGCCAGCCAAATCATTAAACGATATTTGTCGACTGAGGTTTTCAAAATTTTCTGTAATCTAATCTAATTGGATTTGATGAAAGCTGAAGAATTCAACAAGAATTCGGCGTTATATGTAATATCTCGGGTAGGGATGGCATAATGACGACCAAAAACTGGAGGGCTGTTGCTCAAAAACATCCATAGACGATTATCCATATTCTTTGGTAAGGGCTCAAATAAAACTGGCTCCTCGCAGAAAATCATACGCGCCAATGCAAAAGCCCGAGAACTGTGTGAAGACTTGGCTCGATCTCTTGCGGCATAAACCACGTCGTGATCCAGGCTGTAACTCTCAGCCCCGAAGTCAGATACTCGGAACATTGCTGACCGGATACTGTCTCGTTTAAGTAGAGAGGAGTCCACTCGGTCCAGTTTTGGTGGACTGACGTATAAGTGCGGGTGGTAGAACTTCGACCTCTCATTCTGTTCGAAAATGGACCTTACATGCTCATGAAATGAGCCATGTTGAGCCGTGAAATTCAACTGTGAGGACCAAATGACTGTCTGCATGACGCGCTCGTTGGCAGGATAGCAGCTTTGACCTGGTGTAAGTTGAGTAAGCTGGCCTAGGAGCTCTATGTTGTCTTACGTCAAGACGTTGGAAGATCTGACTGGGGCCAAGTTAAGTATTGACAGAGCTTGCTCCGTACCGGTTTTCTTCGTAAGAGGGTCCGGGATTACAAAAGACGTCAAACCATGCAGGTAGCTGAGGAAAAGGTTGCTCTGCATACTACCGTTACTGGCGAGTCTTGCCAGCTTCTCGTCTACTTTGTAGACATGCACTCTTAGGGTGTTAACTTTGGTGATGTTGACTTTTACCTAGCTCTTCGACATCGCAAAAGATACCCGACCCTCTAGCACAATTACCTTGCGACATGCAGGGATGATGGAGTCGCAAGGCTGTTCGGCTTTCAAAACCAGTTTGTCTTTCAGACCAACCAATGTGCCAACAGACTGATTTAAATCAACCAACGTACCGCAGTACTACCTTAAGTGAATCGAGGAATGCCCAGGAATGTGACTAAACTCAAGCAGAGCTCGAGGCAGTTCTATAGAGACTGACGGGTTCGACTTTCTGTAAACTAAGTGGATCCAATAAGGGTCTTCGTGCAGCCGAAAAATCTCAGATATAGCCTTTGCAGATCGACTCCGCACATTGATGAGAGTGAAATCATCTCGAACAAGTGACCAGTCGCTGCTGGATACGTCTTTCAATAGTCTCCAATGCGACCACTCGTGTTTCCACGGAGCATTGCTGTCCCAAAACTCAACGCACTTCTTTTAATAGTTCCACCAGTGAACATGTTCATCAACAAACTTTGTTGGTAAATTGCCTCTCAAACATCGCTTAGGTACCAATTTGTAGTCAAGTTCGTTGTCCGATGCCTGCATCAAAAGATCCGATTCAGACTCCCCGGAACTCCGGCCGATATAAGTGAATATTATACCCTGCGTATCGTTCCTTAGATGAGAACTACATCCCTGGGACCGGAGTCGGCATTGTTTCAAGGGATAAGTGACCAAAAAGGCACTGATAAGATGTATG